TTTCGCATTAACCACCCTGCCCGATTTCGCACTGTTGCTATTCCACACCAGGGGCGTCGGAAGGTATTTTAGTGTGGTACGGTCAGCCATCTGAAGTACAATAATATTGACTCGTGGGGGAGTGGTGGCTGAGCCGAAAATTTTGGAATTTTAGATCCCAGATCAGTGTATTTTGTTGACTCACGGGTATCTGGGGCAAAAAGTGGCAAGGTCAATACCGTAGTGACCGTACCGTGTGCGACGCCCCTGCACACTGTCAGCATTTAACTCTGAGGTCAGACCTTGATCCCTCCCACCATATGCTATCTGTCTGTCTGCCTCTCTCTCACACACAGATGTGCCCGCATACACACAAACACACATGCACACACACACACACACACACACATGCACACACAGTGACACAAACATACACAAAGCCAACTTCTCTGTGTTTGGTGATCATCATCTGTTTTCTGATGTGCAAGCTCACCTCTGATGCCGATTACTTCCTTGCTTAGACCCGGTTTGCTATTACTATATTAGACCAGTCTGCTCTCCCTTCACTCGCTTGTAAATGCTACTTGGAGCAGTATGGTTGTGTCACTGCTCCTACTGATGTCATTGTTGTGAAAGCAATATCATCGCCATTGGCGGTAATTTTCCACCGTGCATGAATCATTAACAATCATCATCTATGTGTCACGGCCTAACCATCCTCGTAATTCCCCTCATCGTGACTAGTGCTGTACCGTTGAAACCTACTTTGCTTCAGTGTATATTCGCTCCAAAGCTCTTGTTTTGTTGCATAGTGATCTGACGCAGTGTGCTATAGCCTGTCGGGTAATATGCATAAGATTAGTACAGTCGGCATCGCCTATCGAGTGACCAGGTACATGTATAAGGATACTAGTACAAGTACATGTATACCGGCTTAACGATATCGGAACACAAATAGCACTATGTGTGCAATATTCCTTTCTAAGCTCACGCTGTTCGGTGCAGATAGGTCATGTGTCATTGCCAACTTGCCGCATGTGCATGTGCAGCAGGAAGACACCACATGTCGACTACTACTTATACTGTACAGCATTGTGTGCTTACATGCATCTACGGCCTTGTGAATGCAATTGAGTCTCACATACATGTACATGAAATATTGCTTGTAGTGCGGCATCAGGTGTTAACATACAGTGGCTAAATATTTTTCTCGCAATAATGACCGTATTCACCACAAGTGTGTTTATGTCCAGAGCCAACTCAAGTCCTGTATTATTTATGACCATGACAACAAGACTTCCGGGCTGAAATTCTTCTATGACAGGCATGAACACTTGCCTTACAATTGTTCGTGATTGTACGAAGTACATATTCGCTGTTGCATCAATTTTGCACCATTTACATTGTAGTGCCACTAGTGGTATCACCTGCATGCGTATTGAGTCAAACAAGGTTACCTCTGTATAATTATGCTGATCGTGACTATCAAGAGCTTCCATGCAAATTCCCAGCTGACGAATGGTGTCCAGCTTGTGTTCAGCTCAGCTGGCACTCACAACTCATAATAATTGCGTTCTAGACGCCAGATGAGATGTTTCAGCTACAATGTAGACACCACGTCCGTGTTCAAGATAGCCGTCACTTCATCTTCTGTCCATCCTCAATAGCATGTTCAAGCAAATACGTCTGAAACACAGTAGCGACAATCCGACAGCGGCGACATGCCGTCTTCTCCGAATGAGCTTCTACCGTTCTAATTCAGATTCCCCCAAAAATGTTAAAATAAATAATAGATTTCCACCAAGCTCGCTAGCATCTTGCGAACCGTCAACATGCAGGCATTTCAAGTGTTCGAGCGTGCGTAGATTCTGCTCAGCGGCTCAAGAACATTCGCCAAGCGAAAAAAAGTTGATCAGAAAGATCATCGGTAATGGTGGACGAAATTACGAAAATCAGAAGAAGGTATTCGACCCAGTTCGACTATCCTGGACTGGATTGGCAACGTCCAACAAACGGATTCGTATTCTATGGGGTCTCATGAGCTAGTGTGCCAAAGGGCGTTTAGTTGGAGTTTCCGTGCATCACCTTCGCCGAAAGAGGCCCTTTCTAAGATTTCGCCGATGGACTATTGAGCAGTGCCCACTGTCCACGTGGATCGAGCTTGAGCTGGGAATATTTCTGGATCAGATACTGGGATTTCAGCGGGCTTCAAACGCTTAGAGAAGGGAGTCTTCTACTTTGAGCAAGTGCCTTTCACAGTCCACCCAACATGTCTGACATCGAGTCCATGTGGGGGCGATGAGTATGCTGTCAATTGACTATGGAGATTCGATCTCAGTAATAACAGGGCTGTTTCGTTTTTGCCCCAATCGAAATTAGGCCTTGGCGGATAATGCTCGAAAAGGTGACAGATTCTGCTCGAAAACCAGCGAAATTGGCAGAACCATACAAACCTTATAGCGGGCAATTCCTCGAATTCTGCTCCATTTCTTTATCCACATACCAAACATGCATGAAAATTACCAGAGAAAGTACCGATTCTGCCAATTTTTCTGCCGGCATTATCCGCCAAGGCCTAATCGAAATTGGCGTGGTTACTAGTAGTTGCATTGTTCGATTGTTCCCTACCAATTACGACTGCAGAGTACACTGCAACTGCCGAGCCATTGAGGTCGTTTCTTCAGTCCTTGCCCAACCACTCCTTCACCAACAACATATTACTGGTTCATACTGTTTTTGTTTGGATTTTAGTTGCATTTCTTTTATTGATAAAGGTGGTATTTTTGCCCGTACAGGAGGCTTGAGTCGTTGAGACACCAAAAAAACCACATACTGGTTCAGCCAGCGCCTCCTCGGCCTACACCACCCTCACACGGGAAGTAACAGTCGGAAATTCGCTCAGTGGTTGAATGGATGCGTCTCTGGAAACTTCGACCTAATGCTGGAAAGACTGTCATATTGTGCATTCCACCTCATCCGCGTTCCGATCTTTCCCACATCGACCAGTACCTTTTCCACTTCCCTGACGACCGGACGCCCATCCCAATTGTTAGCCACCACAAACACCTTGGAGCCATCTTTGACTCAGGCATGAGTTGGTCCCACCATCTGGAGTATCTCGAGCGCCGGACAAGTTCGGCTGTTGGTGTTCTATACAGCCACATGAGCCATTTACCACTAGTATGTCGTCGGGCTTCTATGCCTCCTATATCTTACCCATAATTTTACACTGTAGCATTGTGTGGTGCAGTGCTGGAGCAGGAATGCTTGCGCGGCTTGAGCTAATGCATCGCAGGATTTTGAGAGCGATATTTCGCTTCCCACTTGACACCCCATTAACAATTCTGTATTCCCAATGCAAAACCTGTCCTTTACAAACCATAATTAACGGACTCTGCTGTAGATTTATCCATCAGATTAGACTGCTGAAGGCCCCAATGCATATTCAAAATGCGCTTAACTGGTTTAACTCCTCTTCGTCAAGTCGTAATAAACTAAGATTCCCTATTTCAAGAAATAACTCAATGAGTCTCTCGCCTGTTTTCATTAGCTATTGTCTCTGGGACTCGCTTCCCCAAAAAATGCAATCATGTGAAAACATTTCTGCCTTTGTTCGTGATCTCTCGGACCATTTCCCGTAAATGTTTAAACCTAATAATACAACTTGATTTGCAGCCCAATCTCTTCTTTTATTGTTGTTGTTCTGATTTGCACGTTTTTTTCTTTCTTTTTTTCTTCTTTCTTTTGCCATGGCTGGCTATAATCGCCCTCACCTCCTCCTTGATTGGCCTAGGCCATGAGTGTGTGCGTAATAATAATAATAATAATAACGTTCTGCGACGAGTTTGGTAGAGCCGTTTCCAGTGCACTGCGCATTACCCCCTGGCGGATACTGCTCCACAAATTGGCAGATGCTGCTCGAAAAGCAGTGAAATGAGAACCAGTCACACCTTATGGCAGGCAATTCTTTGATTTCTGCTCCACTTCTTTGTCCAGCTACCGGTGCCAAACATGAATTTACCACATCAGAAGAAGCATCAAATTCTGCCAAGGTTGCAGCCGGGATTATCCGCCGAGTGCTACATGTAACGCACTGTACTCAAAGAGTACCGAATGCTCCCCTCGTCACCAGATGTCCTATAATATAGGCTATATGCAGCCCAGTCCCACGTAGCACGCTATGAGTATGAAAGGATTCACACGCATGTACATGACTCATCTGAAAAAAAATAGTAGGCGGGTTACAGAACTGTGGTTCGCTGGCTTACTTGTAGTTTTGATAACGCTTCGCTCTTCATTGAGATATCTACCATTCTCTCTTTTTTCTCCTTATTTTCTCCCCAACCCTCCTTCCCTGTAACATAATAATATTCGCTGCCTTGTCATTGAGCATTTGTGTTCGTTTGGATTTGCGAATTCAAGTAAAGTATACAATACATACATACATTGCCTCAGACAGAACGCACTGGCTCGACGTTGTCGACAGATGCATGACCCTCATTTGATTTTTTTCATATGAGCTATATGCGTGCTGTACTATTATATTATTTATACATACATACATCTATTATGACGCACCTATATTATCATAGACCAATATGACCAGATGACACCCAAACCCCAGAGGCCTGATCTCTGGGGCCACATGGAGCGTGTCCAATGTCGCTTTCTGTGACCCAAACTTAAACTGGCCAAAGCGAGCCTGTCCTTGATGATCACTTGAGCGGTGGCGGTGGCGGTGGCGTGTACGCTACTGCAGTACAGCAGTACTGGCCGAGGGCTGCCCAAGTGCCCATGCGGCATGAAGGGCGCCCATTGTAACTGTGATCATGGTGATGGCTGAAGACAGGTCGACCGGTCACGAGGCTGCCAACATATTTAATTTGAAATACAGTGTACTGTACTTCAAATAGGCGACAGGCATGAGGACGGTCCCCACAGTGACAGTATAGCACGAGACGGCAAGGGCATTTTAGGTGGCCTTGCCTCTTGTACGGGCAAAACATTTAGGTCGGGCCGCTGTGCCGAGGTGTCGCGAGATGGATGCTATGCTGTGAGCCGAGAGTGAGAGTAGACGATAACTGCAGGATCCTCTCACGAAACTTACTTCCATCTGTACAGTATTAAAATAATTAATATACATGTATGTTCAAATGCTCAATCTGCGCATGTTCAAATGTGTACTTTTAGACAGTGTAGATCTACTAGAACTTGTAGCAGCTGTGTGTAGTGGCGACTCAGTGTGGCCGATACCAGTTTGCCACTCCTCAGTACAAACTCATGTATGTGCGTGGTGCAGACAGCGCGTAGAGAAACCACACGATCGAACAGCACGCACAAACACACATGCCATTAGTGGCATTGCTAGTAATACGAGTGTCGAAAGCGATTCTGCGGGATAATTACTATTTCCTGTCGCTGTACTGCAACGGACGCTTCTGCAGCCTGGCCTGTTATCTTGGCGGAGACAAGTCGACATGACATTGGCGGGCAGTGCTGGATTGAACCCCAAGAGAGCTAGTTCAGAAGTCGTCTTCTCTGCTCTTGGAGATACTGTCGCCAGGGCTGGTGGTGCTGGCAGCACATGTAGCTATCTTGGGCCACCGACGGCGCGTGGCGCTCTCACTCTCCTGTTGTACGCCGTTGCTGGCTACTGCGCGTCTGATTTGCTCTTCCCAGCAAGAATTGGTCAGCATGATTATGGCGTTCAGACCCCCACCGCACAGCCCGCCCGCGCAGCCCGTCCAACCTCTGCATCGACGGCATTCGCAGATCTGAAGCGGGCGCTGGCAGGAAGCTTGCAGCAGGGGATGACGGCAACTTCCGAGAGTTCGATCAACAACGACGACGACACTGGTAGTGGACGAGCCACCGCGGATGATGCCAAGGGTAACGGCGTGGCCGCTGGTACTCCAACTGGAGATGCAAGTGAATGGACAAGAGTGGCTGTAATCGTGCCATATCGCAACAGAAGCAGACAGCTGCAGAAGTTCGCCTCGTCTTTGAGAGAGTTTCTACGAGGGCAGCGCATCGTCTTTGAAGTGTTTATCGTGGAACAAGGGTTCACAAGCCGTTTCAACCGCGGCGCCCTGTTCAACATCGGATTTGTGGAGATGAATCGCGGACGTCCAGCGGACAAGCAGTTCCAATGCATCGTGCTGCATGACGTGGACTTGATACCCGTGGCGAAGCGGAACACGTACGACTGCATGCAGACGACCAAGGTGTGGGCATGGCAACTGAGTAGCGCTATAGATGTGTACAACTGGGGACTACCGTTTGAGACGACCGCAGGCGGTGTAAACATGTTCATAAGCGAGCGATACGCACAGGTGAACGGTTTTAGCAACAGATACTTTGGCTGGGGAGGAGAAGACGATGACCTTCAGAAACGTATAAAAGTGATTGGTGGCTATCGACGTCTGGACAAGAGTATCGGACGATACGTTGCTCAGAAGTCAGGACACACCGCGGGTCGCAAGAATCCGTTGCGTTTCCAGCTGTTACAGGTAGCGGAAAAGCTTGCGCGACATGAGGGGCTTCCGACGATCAGATACCGTCTGTTGCGGCGACAAACCGTTCAACAGTTCACCCTGCTTCGCGTAGACATTTGGCCACACGAGGATGGCGATGTACACCGGTTCAGCGATGCCGGCCTGAGTGAGATACAGCTGCAAATGAAGTACCGCTTCGTTCCGCCGCCCGAGATCAAGTATGACGACTAGCACTAGCACCTGAAAATCGCAACAGCATCCTGTAAACGATACCGTTTCCAGTCGTGAAACCGTTGGTCTAATCGCTGTTCTATTTTCTATCGCGTTTGAGCTTGTGATACGGCCAGACTTGGCTCATCCGGTCATCGGCAAAGCGGCAATGCACTCGCCGTTGTGAAGTCCAGCAGCCACGTGGCGCTTGCCTTGCAGCCGCGAGCACTGCTGGCTCCGTGTTTAGTGTGTGTACGCGAACCATGGTGCATGCACGCACTAAAAAGCAGTGAGGGCGCCAGTCTCGCTCATCCCAACGGATTTCAATGTCGACCGACAGTACACAGAGCATATTGACAGTGCCCACTGTTCTAGAGGTGAGCATCTCATCCTACACGACGGTGTATGAATACTCACTCTGTGGAATATCTAGTACACCCCCCCCAGTGCCAGAATGAAGACTTCAAATACTTCATAGCTCTTGATCCTCCGCAGAAATCAATTTCTGACTGGCATAATATAACAGTACTATTATGTGTGCGTGTATTTAATTTAACAAATGGCCGCAGGTTTCGGCTGGCACCGTCACCGGCAAATATCTGTGTAGAGCGGCAGAGTTCCACAATATTATTTATCTATCTGTATCGCTGAAGTGAACTTTGCATTGGACGGTTCTCATCCTGTAACCTCCAGAGCATGCATTTAACCCCCCCCCCCCCCCGCCCTTCAGGTATCCAATGAGATGCGATTTTGGCGCGGGTGCCACATTGACCAGTACTGCACATCAAGGCTGAGCAGTACAACGCACGTTTGTGTGTGTGTGTGTGTGTGTGTGTGTGTGTGTGTGTGTGTGCGTGCGTGTGCGCACGTGTGTGTGTGTGTGTGTGTGTGTGTGTGTGCATGCGCGTACGTGCGTGTGTGTATGGCACGTCAGGCTGGGTCCGCGGTTCATTTTATTCTAATCCACCACGCCGTGCGTGTGTTTAGCTGCAGTAAAACAAATCTCCTCTCCCCAGCAAGTTCTGGACAAAGCTAGCTAGAGGCCAGGATAACGATAATGCTCAGATCTTTCAAACAATTTTCAATGTTTTAATATACGAATGGCTCTTTGATTGAACAATTAAATTTTGACACATACATATAATATATATTATACTTAGAAAGACTATGCCTGTAGCTGCAGAAAAAGTGCTCAACATCCAATTTCTTGGGGGGAGCAATGACACATGTCAACAAACAATGGATCACTCGTAATATTTCGCTACTCCGAGTTTCCTGCACTGTGTGCAATCATCAGGCAAACAATATTCAATATTGTTTGCCTGATGATTGCACACAGTGCAGGAAACTCGGAGTAGCGAAATATTACGAGTGATCCATTGTTTGTTGACATGTATAATATATAATATGTATAACCACTGAGCTATGGTGTAACCGTCCCAGTCTCAGCAGGACCGATCAACAATTTCTTCAGACTTCTCTTAGGTATGAAGTGTATTAGAAACTAATGGACGCTATGCATCATCAGAGGCTCGGCAAAGGTGGACATGAAGATTTGTCTCTCCAGATGGGATCCGCTCTGGTTGGGTCTACTCTACAGCGATGGCCGGCTGTTGCACCAGTGTTCCCCTGTGCGTTCATGGATGTCACTCAGCAATGCAATGACGTCATGTGGGCAGGCTTCACCTCATGTGATTGTGAGCTACAGGTGGTACGATTATGCACTGGCAGAGGCAGGAATCCAATACACTGTTGCTCTGTTACATAATAATTGTATTGTGTGTCGCCCCGCGAAGCAAGAGTGCCATAGGCATAGGTCAAGGCTAGTAAGGCCACACAGCTCTCCCCCGTCTCTCGCTCTCTCTCTTGCAAGTGCAGTCATTATGTACTTGAGTTTAGGCGTAGATGTGTTCTGCCCTCGTGCACACCTCGCTGTGTTTCTCGAAGTTAGACCACTCTGACTTGGATGCCGCTTGGGCCGGTTTTAAAATGCTCGGTTGTTCACTACAATAGTAGACTTCATCGCTATCTGTTCGGTCAGTGACTTTGAGCTCCGCTGCATGAGAGGAGACCTCGTTCTGCCTCATTTTCTCTGTGCTGCACTCATGAGTCCACAAAGGGCGACGGAACGGTTCTGTCCGCTGATTGAGCAGGTCCTAGATCTGCATAGAAACATCTGCTTCACCTTGGCTTGGGTCTTTATGATCAGCCATAAACCATTGTTTACATGTACATTCAATGAATATGACAGTATGTACAACACGTATTGTACAGTCATGTACATGTATGCGTGATAACGGCTCCAGGATCATGAAGGATGATCAGGATACACTGCTAGGGTCCAGCGGATTCTGCCGGTAGAAAAATTGGCAGAATTCGGTACTTTTTCTGGTAAGTTTCATGCATGTTTGGTGCGTGGATAAAGAAATGGAGTAGAATTCGAGGAATTGCCCGCCATAAGGTTTGTATGGTTCTGCCAATTTTACTGCTTTTCGAGCAGAATCTGTCACCTTTTCGAGCAGAATCCGCCGGTCCTATGTAACACTGCACTACACTGCACTACACTGCACTCTAGAGTGCAGTGTAGTGCGTTCAAGAGTACATGTACAATGTCCATGCACCGTGGGTGTCATTGAAAGTACGGGCTTGGTCCATTTATTTTAGTACATGAACTCTTTGTGCACGTTTCTCATTGGCTGGTTCGATCACCTAAGACCTTGATCACGCGCCAGCGCGACTGTCAAGTGCGAGGTCAAGCGACCCTGACACTGTGACACTCTGACAGCGTGCGCTTACACTAAGCCTACACAAGTAAGCGTTTCCATTACTCGCATTAGGCATCACGAATGGGTATCCGTGCGACAAATCCAACCCTGAAAGTGGTAAAAAAAGAAAAGCACACTTTGGATGCACATAATACAATGTAGATCTACATGATTGTATCTGTTCAGCTGGAAGAGTTTCTTCTTTTTCCTTGCCTCTCAAGTCTCAGTCACTCTGCCTCCGGAAGTACAGTGTTTCTCGATGAAATCCAGTCGCGCTAGTCAAGTTGGCGCAGTGCTCCGTTTCGCAGCCCAGTACAGTGTTGGCAGGTCTAGGGCCGCGCAACGCCCGACGCGTAGACCTACTAGTACTTGAGAAACTCGACTGGATTTCATTGAGCAGCACTGTTCATGACATTGTACAGCAGCGCCGCCAGATACAGTGACTATATCATTTTCCTAAGTTTTCTTTTCTTGGTACATGTATCTCTATTTTTCACATCTGCATGACTTCGTCTTGGTCGTAAAAGACACCACTACCCCGACAAAATCACGTTGGTGGTGAGGGGGACATGGGGCAACGTAGTACCGGTACAGTGCAAGATGAATGCGCCGAGTACAGTGTGAGGTACTCGTGCCCGGGCCCGGCACACGTATACATGTACATGTACGTACTGGCACAACGATGGTTGTGTCAATTGCCCCATCAGCTACATTCATATACCGTGTCATTAAGACATTATCATCAAGTGTACCGTCGACGCGTCGTGGACATGTACAAAATGTACACCAGGACAGATACAATGTGTGTTAGACTTTTAGATCTGCTTTTGCCGAGGATGATACTGACGGCATTATTATGGCTGATGCGTCCAACGCTTTCAATCGGTTGATTCACTTATCGCCTTTACAGCTTGCCGCCTGATGGCGCTTGCCCAGGTGTTCGGCCAATAGGTATTGGAGAGGTTGTTAGACGAATTATCAGTAAGGCAATCCTCTCCATTGCCGGTCATGCTGTGCAGGAGGCAGTCGGATGTGACCAGTTATGTGCTGGCTTGGACTGCGGCATAGAGGCGGGAGTGCATGATGCAATCTGCTTTTGCCGAGGATGATACTGACGGCATGGCTGATGCGTCCAACGCTTTCAATCGGTTGAATAGACAAGTCTGCCTTCTCAACGTCCGGCACTTATGTCCACCCCTCGCTACAATATTGATCAATACGTACAGGGATTGATCAATACGTACAGGGAACCTGCGCATCCATACATACACACGATGGACCCAACACATCATAGAAACCACCAACAAAGCCAAAAAACTACTACACCAACTCCACAAGACACGTGGCACAATGAACGCTTGCAGCCTATTGTTAATATACACGACCTACATCCGACCCGTTCTCGAATATGGCAGCCTTGCCCTCTCCAACACCACACAGCAACAGCGGGACACACTGGAGAGAATTCAACGCCGTGCTATACGCATCTGCCTTCGGATTCCGCTCTTTACACCAGTTCACCACAGTTCCCTCCTCCATCATGCAAAGCTCCCCACCCTTAGCTCACGACTCCTTGTTAAACAAGTCCTACTAGCATGGGACATTCACCACCAAACCTCCCCACCACACCTGCAACAACCACATCTTGCACCACAACGTCTACACCAACCATACACCCTTCGACAGACAAGGACCTACTCCATCGGACACGCACACACACAGGCACCGAGATTCCCCCATCAACAGTCCCCTCACCCTCTACAACTCACTGCCTATCGACATCACAACCCAACCTCGTAGAAATTCTTTCCGAAACAATGCATCCAGTCTTCTTTTGAGTAGTACCTGTTCCTGCTCCGCGGATCCCCCTGGTTTCTGATATCTCGAACGTGAAATAAAAATACGAAAATGGAACTAGCAATGAGGGGAGGAGGCCGGGTTAAAGGGGAAGTTAAGGCAAAAATCAAAATTTCACCAGTTGTAGTCTTCGGGGTGCTGAGTCGAATGGTCTTGGTCCGAGAAAGCTGAGACGCTCCCTTCCTACTTGAATCCCAATCGAACTCGCGCACTTCCACCGAAACTGGGTGACTGCGCCCTACTAGATGGGGATTTGTATGCAAAATGTCACTAAAAGCGCCATTTCGTTCTTATAAAAGCACGGATGACCGCGATTGGCCCATATGTTGTAGTCTTTTGGACGCTGAGTCGACTGGTTTTGGTCCGAAAAGGCTGCGATGCAGCGTTCCTCCTTTATTCCCAATCGAACATGGTTGAAGAAGCGGTCACGTGCTCCTGGGTGCCAAAATCACCTGGTCACCACGCCAGCAGGCGACAACTTTCACACCAAGGTTCAACTCGAGTGACAGGACTGCACCCAAAAAAGGTCAAAACAGGCTGTAAGTTGTACCCTGCAGGCACGGTGACCAGCTGACTGGTGTACGCAGGAGCACGTGACCGCTTGTTCAACCATGTTCGATTGGGAATTAGGGGCGAACGCTGCATCGCAGCCTTTTCGGACCGAAACCAGTCGACTCAGCGTCCAAAAGACTACAACATATGGGCCAATCGCGGTCATCCGTGCTTTTATAAGAACGAAATGGCGCTTTTAGTGACATTTTGCATACAAATCCCCATCTCGTAGGGCGCAGTCACCCAGTTTCGGTGGAAGTGCGCGAGTTCGATTGGGATTCAAGTAGGAAGGGAGCGTCTCAGCTTTCTCGGACCAAGACCATTCGACTCAGCACCCCGAAGACTACAACTGGTGAAATTTTAATTTTTGCCTTAACTTCCCCTTTAACCCGGCCTCCTCCCCTCATTGCTAGTTCCATTTTCGTATTTTTATTTCTTTTTCTCTTCATTTCTGACTCTTCCTTCTGGTTGTCGTCGCTTTCATAATATTGGGCAGAACTGCCCGTTTGACATGCGATGTAAAAATACTAAAATAAATAAACAACAACAACAACAACAACAACAACAACAACAACAACAACAACAACAACAACAACAACAACAACAACAACAACAACAACAACAACAACAACAACAACAACAACAACAACATCAACAACAACAACAACAACAAAGTTGAACCAATATGGCTAACATCACATGGCCCATAGATGCAGGGGTTGAGTGGAGTTGGAACCAACATGGCTGACACCATGTGACCCATACATACAGGGGTTGAGTGAAGTTGGTACCAACATGACTGCCCTGTGTGGTCACGTGATAGATTGTGAAGCCCGACTCTACTCGGTCTTCTTTTGTCACATGACCATGAGCCATGCATGTTTGGTAGATGGAAGAGGAGCCGAATTCGAGCCATACGCTTTGTACGCGTACGGAGTCGAGCAGAATCTGCAAATTTGATCACGCATGCTCCGCAAAGGCCTACTGACGGGTCATTTCAGGCAGGGCAGATAAGGTCATGGTGAAGATCATTGACATCCTATTGCCACGAAAATTTGATTGAGAGAGAGGATAAATTGGAAAAAGCTAGCATATAGAAAGGTAAATGTTGGAAACAATGCGGGGATTGATCCAAAGCAGGAAAAGGACACTATGGCAACAGCTTGCGTGAGACATGACCTCTCCGCTTGGTAGCAGCTAGTCGAGAACATAAAACATAATTATATGTTTGATAAACACCCAACATGCGTGCACACATACACACACACACACACACACACACACACACACACACACTCGCGCGATTGCAAATCTAGCTTTCAATAATTCTATAAGGGTTCTCTAAAACAATAATAGGTCCAACTATATAACTGGACCCATTCAAGGGTTCTCTAAAAGAGAACCCGTATAGAATTATATTAGAATTATTTTTAGAATTGTTTATATTTTGAAAGTATTGGGAGAACTTCACTTCCCCAACTGATCCCTAGAATTGTTTATCTCAGTAAATTCTATAATTGTAAAGATCTGCATACACAACAAAAAAGCATCCCCAGAGGGGGGGTGTAATTTTTTGGTGGTGATTTCTATAAAAAGTGAAAAGGACCAAGGAACTACAAGTTACACTATAATGTCCACTAACACCACCAGTCACTAAACTAAACTGAATAATCCTTGGCTCTACATCCGAGTGATTTCTATGAATATTATTGTAGGATTGGCAAAAGTCATTGCCTGTAGCCTGGCGGTGGTGCTGTGTATTCCGGTGTTGCATGCCCGGTGACTGCCGTACCGCATTGTGTAGTGAGAGGAACTGGCCAGATGCACTGGCCAAACAATGGCAGAGCTCTCGCATCACTCTGATTTAGTTTCAGAGCGCTCCAGAGAGCAGATCCACCGCCTAGGCCAGTTTTCGTTGCACCTGCAGATAAAAATAGACAAGGAACAGAGAACAGAGATACTGCAGTTGCGCTCACTGAAATCTGACCCGAAGTGCAAAGCTGACGCCCTGGACCAGTTCCGATTACATCATTGTATTTGTCCATGTGTACGTCCAGCCGCATTCGTGCCACTTCCAGGGCGTCAAGGGCGTGCTAGATGAGGGCGCCTGCTTTGAACTTTGGGTCGGATTTCAGGAGCGCAACTGTAGTACTGGGAGCAGCAGTGTTTATCAGCACGGTACATTTGGTGAGGGCAATAAGCACTGAATGTAGGGACCACACAAAGAAAACGACACAAAGCAACAAGGAACAGAAGCCAGCGATACATGTACCGCCAACAGGGATGCTGCACAGGCAGAAATTTCAGTCGGTCAATAATCTCGTCCACTTCCAAAGAAAAGGAGTTGGCCTGGTTAAAGGGGAAGTTAAGGCAAAAATTAAAATTTCACCAGTTGTAGTCTTCGGGGTGCTGAGTCGAATGGTCTTGGTCCGAGAAAGCTGAGACGCTCCCTTCCTACTTGAATCCCAATCGAACTCGCGCACTTCCACTGAAACTGGGTGACTGCGCCCTACGAGATGGGGTTTTGTATGCAAAATGTCACTATAAGCGCCATTTCGTTCTTATAAAAGCACGGATGACCGCGATTGGCCCATATGTTGTAGTCTTTTGGACGTTGAGTCGACTGGTTTTGGTCCGAAAAGGCTGCGACGCAGCGTTCCTCCTTTATTCCCAATCGAACATGGTTGAACAAGCGGTCACGTGCTCCTGCGTACACCAGTCACCTGGTCACCGTGCCTGCAGGGTACAACTTACTAGCCTGTTTGACCTTTTTTGGGTGCACTCCTGTCACTCGAGTTGAACCTTGGTGTGAAATTTGTCGCCTGCTGGTGTGGTGACAAGGTGATTTGGGCACCCAGGAGCACGTGACCGCTTGTTCAACCATGTTCGATTGGGAATAAAGGAGGAACGCTGCATCGCAGCCTTTTCGGACCAAAACCAGTCGACTCAGCGTCCAAAAGACTACAACATATGGGCCAATCGCGGTCATCCGTGCTTTTATAAGAACGAAATGGCGCTTTTAGTGACATTTTGCGTACAAATCCCCATCTAGTAGGGCGCAGTCACCCAGTTTCGGTGGAAGTGCGCGAGTTCGATTGGGATTCAAGTAGGAAGGGAGCGTCTCAGCTTTCTCGGACCAAGACCATTCGACTCAGCACCCCGAAGACTACAACTGGTGAAATTTTAATTTTTGCCTTAACTTCCCCTTTAAGAACTTTGTCCATGGAGCGCATAAGAGTGTGTTGAAAAGCTGGACAAAATCGACATTATTCCGACACTTAATTTTGTCCAAAAAGCCCCCTTGGACGAGAAAAGGACGAAATTAAATTCCAGACGAATATTTCTGCTTATACAGTACTGGGAATCGGGGTGTTTGTCAATACGTTAGAGTTGGTGAGGGCAATACACACTGAAGGTGGGGACTACGCACAGGAAAACGACTACGAAACCGCCGATGGGAGAACAAGAGCTATGGCGTTGCTGCTCAACGAAATCCGATCAGCAGCGCATCAATGCCCCGCCGACACGTGCTGTTCAGTCCCGGCACCTGCGAACACCGGGATGTGAACTTAGCGCAAAGGTGCAAGTTTGATTCACGTGATCAGATTTTATTTAGCAGCAGCAACTGTACAATAGCAGCCGCAGCAGCAGCAATAGCGGTCATGGTAGCGGCGGGAGAAAGCAGCAGCAGCAGCAGCAACAGCAGTAAAGAACTGTTGGGCGCCGAAGAACGGAGTGCCGAAGAACGACCAGGCTAGAATTTCACCAAGCACAGCATAGCAATGGATACATGGCGGCTCAACTGTGCATAGACAGCAATGCATGAACATAAGAACAGTCCAGGCTAGAAGGCTGACCCCCAGTTCTTCGGCGACTGAGAGTGCTGTGACGGCTGAAGTCTCATTTCAGGACAAAAGTTGCCCGTAAAACAATCAGTATCACCCTGCATTTACCGTTATCTATAGCACATGGTCTTCAGGCTACTGTGGCCATGGCGACAGCAGCACATGCAGCGACGAGGCCAACCAAGACTCCAGCACTGAGTCCAGCCGAACTCGGGTCGGGATTACCAACTGTTCCGGTAGCTGCAGTGCGCAGGAGTCACACACGCACGCACGCATGCATGCACGCACACACGCACACACACACACACACACACACACACACACACACACACACACACACACACACACACACACACACACACACACACACACATGCACACACGCACACATGCACATATACACACACACATACACATACACACACACACACACACACACAAACACACACATCGTAAGACAACGTTCAATCCATGCTGCAGTAAAATCATTTCTTTCCTCAGCAGACCCATCTGATATTGGGTGACCGTCTCCGGTTGGGGAAGCGAAAAGGCAACGAGTGAAAGGAGACAAGCAATGCAAGTGAAGTGATGTTTGAACATACGCCGACTAGACAAATGTGTAGCACTTTTAGCGAGTCATTAAAAATATACAAATCATGTGTAGTACAGTCAGGATCACTGCCGGTACAGTTCTGGTCAGAGAAATCCAATTACAGCAAGTCGACAAGTGTTTCGCCCCATTCAAATCTCCGCCTCCCAGGGCTAAAACACATTTCGGCTGCAACAAATTTTCGGCCTGTACTGCTGCTGCCTGTACACGCTGTCACACGGAACCTTGCAAAACAAAATTTCGGCCGCAACAAATTTTCCGCCAAATATGATCAGGCCGAAAATAGCCGAAAATAAATATGCTCCGAATATTTGTTGACTTCAAGTACAGTAAAAGCTGTCAAGGCGACCACTCTGATAAGGCGACCACCTGTCCCAGACGATCACTGAAACCTAGGACCAAGGGATGCTGTTTCCCGTCAAATGACCCTGGGTAAGGAGATCACCTGGTAACAGAGACCACATTTTGAAGGTCCCTTGGGCGGTCATCTTAGACAGGTTTCAATGTACTTGATAAAAGCAGTGCTGCGCTCGAGTGCGCAGAGTGTTTTGTGCGGTGCTAGGACTGCATAGCCCTCGGCACTATTATATTCATGAGGTTGGGTTCCTCTGGCCAGGATTGTACAAATATGTACGGAGAGAGAAACACACACACACACACACACACACACACACACCGGCACACACGAACCTGCAGGACACAGTCATGATGGCTTACCTGCACATGTTGTGCAGCTGGGATCGGCTACAGCTAGGCAAAAAAAGACACAGTAAATGGGAGACATACGGAGTGAGAAACACACACACACACACACACACACACACACACACACACACACACACACACACACATAAACACACACACATACACCATTTGACCATTTGACGCTCATCGCCGGAGGTGATGATAGCGATGCTACAGCAGAAGCCATAGCAACTTGTGCTGGGATTGCACCATTCAACAGCTTGCAAGGCTGAAGAATTGACCGCCACTATTCAGCCTGGTCTACACCACACAGCTAGGAAGTGACTTTTTCTGGCCATTGAATCCCTACCTTTTGGTCTTTTTTTCCGCACACACATCACACCACATACTCCGGCATGCACTGGCTGTTGGCAACCACCCAGGAGAATGAGAGCAAAGTCAGGAGGAGTCTGAGAAAGAGAAGAAAGACGTGTGTGACCATAATCGTCGGGAATCGAACCCGAGAAACCTCTCGATTGGAAATCGCTGCACATACCACTGCACCATATGGGACACACACACACACACACACACACACGCACACACTTGTACTTGCTCACAGCTAAAACTGGCCACATGGGTCTGCCCGGGAGCGGGGAGAGTGACTCAAAAGGAATCTTGGAAATATCACTCGATCGGCTATTAAACTGCTCAACAGCCGACACCCCTGGAATCCCAAAACTCTGGGTGGAATTGGAAATTATTCCACCTATGGGCTCACCACGCATAAGACGTAAGCTGTTCAGGAAAAGGTGAAGAAAAAAAAAGGATTCACAGCATCAGGGTATCCATCCCGGGCGCGATCCAACTGGATTTGACCCCCTGCTCTAAGCAGTGTTAAACAGGGTAGATGGCTGTATTCCGTGACACAAAATCTGCGTACGTCTCATACTCCAGTGCGACTTGTACTCCAGTGCGGCATATACTCCAGTGTTACTAGTACTCCAGCGCGGCTTATACTGTAAAAGCCATTATTCTAACGAAGTGCTAACTCTAACGAGTTAATGAGGAAAAATCTGTCGTTAAAATAGAAATCGCTACATATCTGTCCTATTGAGCGTTGAGAATCGTTACCTTTGGTACACGTAAACAAGTCAATTTTGGGAAATCGTTATTATTGTATGCGCCTCGTTAGAATAATGGCTTTTACACTGCGGCTTATACTTCGGAAAGTCTGGTAATACTCCGGAAAGTCTGGTAATACTTCGGAGGCTCAAATATCTAGTCTCACCTGCATCGTCGGTTGCAGACGTGCTGACCAGGTCAAACGTGATCGTACCCATTGAGGCGGTGCTGCCGGACGTCTTGCGGTACACGGTTGTGCGTGAGCTGGTGGCAGTGATGCGGGCTATGGGCTGTGCCGGGCTGGTGACCTGGTTGCCTGAGTTCCACGACTCACCGCTGTCGGTACCTGCGGAAAGGCAGACGGAGAAACGGACAGATTGACAGGCGGATGGGCGGACAGACAGACAGAAGGATGGACGGACAGACAGATGGATGGACGGATGGACGGACAGACAGACGGATGGTCGGACAGACAGACAGACAAATAGAAAGTAAATAAATATATCAGTATCAATCAGACATGTCTTGCTTTTGTTGTTTGGTCTGCCTATCTGCCAGACAGACAGACAGACAGACAGACAGACCAACATACTGACAGATAGATAGACACACTAGCGGACGGGTAAACAGATGGATATGCAGTGTCCCCGTCGGCGCTAACACACATGCACTCACACACACACATACACACATGCACACATACACGCATACACACGCACGCACACGCACACACACACACACACACACACACACACACACACACACACACACACACACACACACACATCCATACTGACCATCCCTTGACTTACCAGCATCCCAGGGATATGCCTGCACGGTAACGGACTGCTTCCAGCTACTGCCGTCGCACAGGTTCTCAGAGTATGCGCCCACAAACCAGTCGGGACTTGGCGCAATCATGGTGGCCACGGATACCAACGGTCGGTAACGATCGGCTGTGAATGAGGCTGTCGATGTACCCGAGGCCGAGCCCAGGAAGTTACCCTGAAACGTAGACCGCGTGTTTGCACCTGAGCACAGGAAGGAGGAGATAGACAAGAAATTATTATTCTAGCTAAACTTAGGCTGCATCCCAGGCCCGGTGGAGCCAGTCTGGTCGATCAGGCTATGGGCGGACAAACCTTTTGACCACCAGCATGTGTTTACTGCTGAGGAAGTCATGTGTATACCCTCCATATCATACACAAACTGTATGAAAGTCATGTGTATACCCTCCATATCATACACAAAGTATGCGAAAGACTAGGGTATGGCCGGACCAAACAACAACAGCTTTCGCCGATCATGAATTATCACAAAAGCGGACTTGTTGTATGTGTGCGGCAATGTGTCTTGAATGGTGAGCGTTTCAATAAGATTCAAGCAGATCTCCTGCTGGGCAGCTGCAGCTCAAGTATCTCACACCCACCGCACACCCCCCTGTCTACGCTCACCTCTTCATCCAGCACAGACGCGTAGCTCGCACGGGGCACATGGGGCGAGTGTACCCCCCCCCCCTCCCACCCCTGCCCTTAAAACATTTCGACCTAGGTTCAGCACGCAATGAACATGAATGACATGCACCAGCCATCTTACACATATGCGGCCGTGCACAACCCCCCCCCCCCCCCCTCCCCCTGAAAGGAGGACCAGCTACACCCTTGCAGTGGGATGTTATGCAGACACAGACAGCCACCGTACTCAGCTCACTCTGGTTTTCATCACTCGGGTTCTCCGGGGCCACACTCTGTATTTCAAAGTCGGGGGAAAACAGGCCGTAACACCTCTCTGCAGCCATTACACCAGCCATAACCTATACAACAGCTGATTGAAGTGGCTTGTTTCCAGCCAGTGAATCTCCATTTTTCATTTTTTTGGCACACACACACATATACCAGACATGCACATACGCACGCGCACACATACACACACACACACACACACACACACGCACACACACACACACACACATATACACACACACACACACCGCATATTCCGCCACATAGACACACACGTGTGTACACCAAGCTATACCTAGCGTACCATACCTTGCGCGGCGAACTCGTTCCTCAGAGTTCCGGTGGTACCGACTTCAGCCATGCTCCTCATGCCGGAAGAGGAAAGAATACCGCCTTTCCACATTGTGTAGCAGGCACTGTGACTGGTTCCGATTGGCGAAGACCAGTGGGGAAAGTTAGACGGAGGTGTCGGGTCAGTCCAAGTGGCCGTGAACGTCATGCGGTACGTAGCCGTGCCGTTCGCCGTACAGCCGCATGCTAGAGAAAGACACGTTCACACCCGCACACACATGCACACACATACACACCCACGCACACACACGTGCACACCCGCACACTCGCCCGCACACACATACACACACATGCACGCACAACCGCACCAACACATACCGTAACATAGTAAAATACAGTACACACACACACATGCGTACGTGTGTGTGCGTGTGTGTGTGTGTGTGCGTGTGTGTGTGTGTGTGTGCGTGTGTGTGTGTGTGTGTGTGTGTGTGTGTGTGTGTGTGTGTGTGTATGTGTGTGTGTGTATGTGTGTGTGTGTGTGTGTGTGTGTGTGTGTGTGTGTGTGTGTGTGTGTGTGTGGATTCACTGGCCAGAAAAAGTCACTTCAATCAGCTGTGTGGTGGATACCAGGCTAAAAATAGTGGCGGTCAATTCATCAGCCTTGCAAGCTGTTGGATGGTGTAATCCCAGCACAAGTTGCTATGTCTAACATAGCTGTTCGCTATCATCGCTTCCGCGATGGGCAGGTCTGAGGTCTGAGGTGTGTGTGTGTGTGCCCCGGCCAGACACAAGTGCGACCTCACGAAACGAAGGACAGTGTCGGAAAGGGCCGACTTCCCGTTTGAGTGCCCTTCCCAAAGGAAGTTCCGACGTTCCGTCACTGTCTAGTACGCCATCAGGAGTGCTGCTCCTTAGCCTCTTCCACCCCTCTCCCCTGACGGGGACCGTGTAACCTATCAAGGTCAAAGTGTGCGTGCGTGTGTGTGTATGTGCACGCACGCACGTATGCATACAAACTTCAAGGTTGACATATGACCGGGGTCGACTTACAAACCGGTAACACACACACACACACACACACACACATACACACATGTTTGTGACGATAAAGGTCCTGGCATCGGTCCGGGCCTAGGCCTGGCAGGCTTGGCAAGACAGGTCACCGCGCTTCACTTACACTGCGCTTCGGTAGACCCTTGAGCAGAGCTTGTCGGAGCTGAAGGACAGCCGAGTTGGTTTGGTCCCGACGCAGCCGTTGTTCCGTCCGGGCAACATCCGTACTGGGTTCCGGCACAGCCACCAATGAGCATCTGAGTGGTGGTCATTGCCGGTAAGCCGGTGGTAGTCATTGCTGGTGCTGCTGTGCCTGTTGCCACTGAAGGACAGCCGAGTTGGTTTGGTCCCGAAGCGGCCGTCGTCCCGTCCGGACAACATCCGTATTGGGTTCCGGAACAGCCACCAATGAGCAATGGGGTGGTGGTCACCGCTGGTGCGGGGGTGGTTGTCGCGGCAGGCGCGGCAGTGGTTGTGGCTGCCACAGTTGTCGGTGTTGCACACATTGAGCATTGCGGATCAGTTCCTGTGTTACCATAAAAGATGTACACATGCACACACACACACACACACACACACACATACACACACACACGCACACACACACAGAGTACATTTCATCCACGCAGGCACAAACGAATGAAACAACAGACAGGATCGCACGTCCACAGGCCACCATGCGTGTGAGCTGTCAACTCATAATACGGTACTCGTGATGGCATGGGCGAGCCAGCTGGCCACAAAGGACTGTTACGTGCATGTTCTAAGAAGAGATCGACGTGTCCTACTCACACTCTCAAACAACACAAGGAGCCCTGTACCAAACAACAGACTTTTTCATGGAATTCATGTGTGAAAGTTTTCTTGAGCACTGCTGTTTTCACCCCCTTTGCTCTTTTTCCGCTTTCCTCACCAGAGTAACTGTACATCTTGGAACGAAGTCCCACAAACTCGTTATCAGTTTCCCACCGAGTTCATCTTTGAACAGGCCAACAACTTTCTTGTTTTTCTCAATTGAATACATGAGCTCCCAGGCAGGGTTGCCCTGACCCGTGGCAAAGCGGTTTCTATGACGTCGCGTACACATACACATCAGACGTCGTTTACTTAGTCAAGCGCATGCAGCTCAACAATAGAGGTTACCCGATTACGCCATCAGCTGAGGTGCTTCGGCGAAGTTGCACAGCGGCATACTTTGCCGCACAGCATTTCCTTTGCACGAGCGACTCACGATGCTCACGCCGTGCCCATTCGAAAAACTGCTGACTCACGCTCATATATTTGCATACTTGCATCCATTCCAAAATCCTGGTGAAATCATTCGAGTAACCTCTACAGTCCATTCATTAGAAACTGGCACCCTAGCTTTTGGGTGTCTCCCACATGTAGTTGCAGATTTCGTGAAAATAACAGTGCATCCTGCATTGTGTGACCCGTGCAATTACTCCTTGCCGCATTTGAGGCCAAAAAAGTCCAAGAACAGGGAAAAAGAAATTCAGAAAGGTTTTACAAAATTAGGACAGGTATGCCATGGACAAATGTATCGAGAAGCAGATCCAAAACCCAGATTTTTGAGATTTAAAGTGGGTTTTTTGATCCTCAATTCGGCGCAAATCCGACTTTCAAAAACCAGCGGGACTGTTTCCGCTGAATGGACTGTAAACCTCCGCCCATGTCACAATGTAAAAATTATAAAATCATCCCCGACGTGGTCTGAAGGCTTGTTGATCGGTATACCGTGGCACTTGGCCCAGTACCATGGTTGCTACTGGAATCCGACCGCTGGTTTTTGTGCTCGGGTGCAGCACCGAGTTTAGCGGTCTGTATTTGAGCCTACAACAGATACGAACAGGGGGGTTATGCAGTGTTAAAAAATGACACATCTGAAAGTTGAGTGTATCGTAAAAGAGATTGGAACACCGGAGTTCAAACACCAATAATTCTTTGATGGATAAAAATTTTTGACTGAAGTTTTTTGCCGAGCAATCTGCTAGATTACAGCAATGTCAAGGTGTAGAAGATAGCTTCAAAAAGTTTTTTTTTTAAACACACAAGCCCCTCTTTGGATCGAGAGGCTCATTTGGTAGTGTACAAGCTGCTGTTTATTTTATATTTTTTTAAGGATAGCGATCAACAGGACGAACTGAATCGACATTTCACAACGGCTTTATCGCACGTGTACGTGGAAGAACGAGCCAATTTCCGCCTTACGGCAGTCACATATTCCCCTTTGTCCATCACATCACGATTCAGTTCATCTTGTTGATTGCTATTCTTAAACTGTTTTAATATTTGGATATTTATTATTTTTGGAAGAATTTGTAGCCAAGAGACCGTTTTCGAGTAGTGGTGTATAACTGTGTGAAACATGAAGTGGCTACAGTGGAGTCTGCACATCCTTAGGAAGGTGTTGACGCCTTGTAGCTTTAAATAAACAGCGAGGAGACAACGAGTATACATAAATGTCGATTCAGCGTGTCGCATTGATTGCGGTTCCTTGTAGCATTTTTATTTATGTTTAATTATTTTGCAATGTGAGGGCAGCTCCGAACTAGGGTTGGATATCAGTTCCCTTCACTTTACTAGATTCCGGGCTTAACAAGTAACGAAACTACGACGACAGCATGTCGCAGGATGGAGGACACACTCTATGGAAAACAGTGCCACGCCTTGTAGCATGATATCATCGTAATACTCGTACATATTTAGCTATCAAGCGAGGTTTGCACTATTTTCAAATAAAAATACCATGTCTGACTTACCGCTGCTTGCTGTGTTAGTGCCGACAAGGTCAAACCTGATGTTGCCCATGGATGTAGTAGTCCCGGTGGTTTTACGGTATACTGACGTGCGTGGGCTAGTCTCAGTGATGCGAGCAATGGTCTGTGCCGGGCTGGTGGCTTGGTTAGCAGAGTTCCAGTCTAAACCGCTGTCAGTACCTGAGAGAGAGAAGGAGAGAGAGAGGGAGAGAGAGAGGGAGAGAGAGAGAGAGAGAGTGAGAGAGAGGGAGAGGGAGAGAGAGAGAGAGAGAGAGAGAGAGAGAGAGAGAGAGAGAGAGAGAGAGAGAGAGAGAGAGAGAGAGAGAGAGAGAGAGAGAGAGAGAGAGAGAGAGAGAGAGAGAGAGAGAGAGAGAGAGAGAGAGAGAGAGAGAGAGAGAGAGAGAGAGAGAGAGAGAGAGAGAGAGAGAGAGAGAGAGAGAGAGAGAGAGAGAGAGAGAGAGAGAGAGAGAGAGAGAGAGAGAGAGAGAGAGAGAGAGAGAGAGAGAGAGAGAGAGAGAGAGAGAGAGAGAGAGAGAGAGAGAGAGAGAGAGAGAGAGAGAGAGAGAGAGAGAGAGAGAGAGAGAGAGAGAGCGAGAATGAGAAAGAGAATGAGAAAGAGAGATGAAAAAGGAGACGTGGTGTTAGCAAGGATGAGATAGAGGGAGAATAAGAGGGAGATAGCGAGAGGGACAAGACCACGTGGTACGGATCTAGTATTATGTCACAGTATACTATATTCACTAGTTTGAGGGAAAGACACAAACAGGAAAAGTCTGAAGAAAAATTGACTGTCACCACCAGGACTGGAACCAGGGACCTTCGCTTGTAGCTAGCGATGCTCTAACCACTGAGCTATGGTGTAGTCGTCATCCCAGCAGAGACCGTTCAACATTTTCTTCAGACTTCGTATGTTGAGTATCGACCTGCCCCGGAAAAGTAGCCAGCTTGGGCAGGGAGCTCATCATCTTGTCTAAGGCCGCCGATTGGCACTTTCCATGGAAATGGTCATGTGACACACAGCACTAACCACCACTCACCAGCATCCCACGGGAAAGCCTGTACGACGAGGGACTGCTTCCAGCTACTGCCGTCGCACAGGTTCTCAGAGTACGCGCCCACAAACCAGTCGGGACTCGGCGCAATCATGGTGGCCACGGATGCCAACGGGTGATAACGATCGACTGTGAACGTGGTTGTTGATGTACCTGAGGCCGATCCGATGCCGCCTGACTGAAAGGTGCTCAACGTTTGAGCTCCTGTAGAAAAGAAAAAAATATAGCAAGGAGAAGCAGCCAGCAAGCGAAACATGAAAATCAAATGGATCCTCATCAGGCTTTCTGATAAAATCCGCTTCTTATTCTGTTTGCCTCCCTTTTTTCTGTTCAACCATGCAAAATGGACTTTTTTATTGGTGAGTCTTGATAGTTGTACTACATGAGCAGTTTGAGGATAATGACAGTTTATTTTTCCACACAGCAACTTTGCTACTCTTTTGTTTTCTTTCCCCTTACTTTTATTTTTCGCCGTGGTTGGCAATCACCCACTCTCTTAACATTGGCCGGTGTTTCCACCGAGTCTTGAGGTGTTGCAATAAATATAAAAAATATACGGTAACCAGGCCCGTGCAGGTGGACACGGAAATTATTTATTATTCTCGTATCGAATTGGACTCACGACGGCAGAATTGATTGTGAGCATGTGTGTGTGTGTGTGTATGTGTGAGAGTGGGAAACGAAATGAAAAAAAGAGAGTCTTGTAATAAAGATCAAATTTAAAAGCTGTACAGTGCACAGTGAAACTTGTTTAAGACGACCGCTCGAGGGACCTTCAAAAATGTGGTCTCTGTTACCAGGTGATCTCCTTATTCAGGGTCATTTGACTGCAAATAGCATCCCGTGGTCCTGATTACAGTGGCCTTCATGGACAGGTGGTCGCCTTATCCGAGCGGTCGCCTTGACAGGTTTTACTGCACTAGATTAAATGGCTGAGCAGATGTTACTCCACACGTAAATACATGTAGCGTTATTTTTTTTGTTTCGCCTGCACCTACTGCGCCCAGTGGTACTGGACTGACGGCAGGCCGCGCTCGCCGTCCTCGCACCGTTGGGTGGTCGCTTAAACCACGTGGACATGACTAGCACCGGTACGGCACTGTTGTATTTGACATTCTTGACCTACTCCCAGCCCCGTCACATCTCCACACTCAGACAAGTGGACGATGAGATAACTACATTGGAAAGACTATATTTGTGACAAGACAACCAAACACACAACTAGACATGACGAACTCAAGACGAAGACTGCTTTTCGCAACACAGCAACATATATAGGCCCCCGGGCGTATAGAATAGCGGCCTTGATTAGTGAAGCAGCGGCAAAGGTCTTCACAAGGGCACGGGCGTTGTTTTGGAACCGGGCGTATACTTGGAATACTTGCCTCTATACTTGGAATACTTGGAATATTTATTTATAAAGTTGGTTGCTCCAACGAGGAGCACACGCTTCTTGCCGAACTTGACACTTGACTGACTGACGACTACCATCCGGAGCACACGAGGAGCACGTCGAACCTTCCGCTCGGCACAATCTTCCTCAGCCTACTCAAGCTCAACTGATGAGGGGTGAATTCCCCGAAACACTGTGTATTGAGCAGGGAGTGGTGCTTTCTTTCAGGTTTACCGAGCGAAAGGTTCGACGTGCTCCTCGTGTGCTCCGGATGGCAGTCGTGAGTCAGTCAAGTGTCAAGTTCGGCAAGAAGCGTGTGCTCCTCGTTGGAGCGACCAACTTCATGATTATTACCGCCGAAGTCGCAACTTCTAAGTTCGTATTTATACATATTAATATCGATTTATTTCACTCAACTCAAGGTCCATGACCAATTGGCACGCAAAGTGCGAGAGAGGGGAGATAGCCAACCACGGCAAGAAAAGAAAAGGAATAAAGAAAATAGAAATGGTGAAATTCTCCCCTGGCTCAGTAGCTGTATCCATTTCATTTTTTAGCTGGGCATGCACACTACAAATACAGTATACTCGCTTCAATGAACCAAAAACATTGTTCTGGTTGGGAAAAGCGATCCTAGAACACATCCATCAACATAGCAGTAAGTATTGGGTATCGGTACCTGTACATGTACTGGTGGTGCCGGCATACCTGGGCGTATACATTGGCATGGGAGCTATTTTGAAACAAAAGTGCTGACTTCCCCTGACTGGGCGTGCACACGGAGGGCGGGCGTTATTTCGAGTGGCCGCATGCTCTTGGCTACAAGCCCGCGGGGGGGGGGGGGGGGGGGGGGCACTATTCGAGAGGGGGCTGTATTCTTTCACCGGCTCTTAGAGACTGGGACACTATTCAAGTGAGGGCTCTAAACTCGCGAGTACGGTACAGTAGTTTATGCTTGTACTTCTCAGTCATACACGTACCTTGTGCGGTGAACTCGTTCTTCAGAGTTGAGGTACCACCGAGTTCTGCCATGATCTTCATGCCGGGAGAGGAGAAAATGCCGTTTCTCCACATCGTGTAGCAAGCACTGTGACTTGTTCCGATCGGCGCTGACCAATGCGGAAAGTTAGTCGGAGGTGTCGGGTCGGTCCACGTGGCGGTGAACGTCATGCGGTATGTAGCTGTGCCGCTTGCGGTGCAAGTGCAGCCTGTGAAGCGCCGCAACGTGCGTACGAACACACGTACATGAGCAGCACAAACACACATACGCACAGAAACACACATATACATGTACACACGTGTGCACACACACACACAAACACACACACACAAACACACACACACACACACACACACGTGCACACACACACACACACACACACACACACACACACACACACACACGCATACACACACACACATTATAACGAAGGGTGCAATACATATTCGATTACCATTCAATGACTGAGTTTACTTGCCTCGGCAGTACACCGAGAAGATTTTAACTAGGTACGAAAGTTTGCATGGGGATCAAGAACGAACTTCCCGTGAAGTAGTCTTCATCAAGATCTTTTGCAAGGATGAAAGCGGTGTATACCACTTGCTGCCCATCAGCTCCTAAATCTTCCAAGAGATCTCTACCGGTCTCTCTCTCTCTCTTCGTTGTGAACAACTGACTTCACATGGACCTGCCAGTAATAGTCAGCTACTTCAAAAAGTATATACAAAGTGCATGTAGCTATATACTAAGCTGACACGACATGGTGGAGATAAGCACTCGACAGATCATGAGTGAGTTGGCGATGACGAGGGCGGATAGTCGGGTTTCCTTGCCGTGATCTGCTCTGCATTGTGCTCGTTTCATTTTTGGCTTTTCATTACGAATCGCTTTAAATTTCAACAATTGAGTTAGAGTTTTACAAAACTGGAGGCCTTGAATCGTTTTCATGAAAATCAAAATATGTGCCAGGTTGGAAGGAGGGGAACTACTGGTTACTTGACAGCTCATGCATGCACTGCAGACAAACCGCCAGAGCTTTTACTTGGCACTTTTTCTGGTATGTTACAAGCTGATGTTTGGTATATGGATAAAGACGAGGGGCAGAATTCGAGGAGTTCCCCGCTCGAAGCCTTGCAGGGTTCTGCCAGTTTCAGCTCTGGCGCTTCCAGCAGAATGTCTTGTGTTTCTGAGCATCATCCGCCCACTACACTTGTGCTCCATGAAATCAGACCCTATTAAAGTACACATTTGTATTTGGCGACCTGAACTAACTTGCGCGGCCCTTGACGCCCTGGACGTGGTGCGCATGCGGCTGGACGTACACACCCATTATCGTTTGCAAAGGTGCTTCCCTATCGGATGCACATGTTCTTTTCTCCTTCGTGTCGGCGCACATGAGTAACGATGAATCCGAGACCTTTGGTCGGAGGAGTTACTTCTGCCCCGCTCCCACTTCCATCCAATATGCCACCGCCCCCGCTGTGCAGCACCTGATAGTTCTGTGGAATTCAGTAAAAAAATGTGAAAAAACCCAGTCATATAATAATCAGTACTGGTCCTGTACTTCGGGTCGGATTTCACCAAACGCAACACTACAAGAACAAGACAAGACTTGCAACAACTCTGTCAGATCTTTTTTTTTCTTTTGTAATAATCTAGTAACCTGCACCCTCAACAAATTCCTTTCCTTTCGTTTCAAATTGCGGCCTGTCTACTCGCCTTTATATCATTGGGCCTAGTTCCCGTCTATTGTGCCAATTGAAAATAAACCAACCAACCGACCAAGCAGTCAACTTCGCTAATAACGTCTGCGGATATAGCGACAATTCGCGAATAACGACAGAATGTCGATGCCCAGAGCAAAGTCCCATCTAACTTTAGAATCAACTCGTAAAAACTCCAAGTCAATCTCCCATTGACACAAACCTCGTTTATTGAACATAATCATATCCTATCCAATAAAAACAGTTCATAAAAACAGTTCATAAAAACAGTTCATAAAAACAGCTTTTTAGGATCGGACCCAGTCCGCATAACCAAGAGAGCTAGCTCCCTTGGCTGCTGTTGGAATATGCAAGAATGGGCCTTCCAGATAAGGTCTAACAAGGAGCAGTGGCTATAGTTATGAAATGAACACCGGTAACCATGGAGACAGACCACACTCTCATTATAGATACTGGTTATAAATAGACCGAATAAGGAAAATGATCTGATAGCCTATGAAGACTAAAAGAAATTGAACCAATGACAACAAATACTCGTCCAGCACACGGGTTGTCATAGCAACACAAATAACAGCTGTCCGCTAATTTTGTTGTTGGAGATTGAGTAGGAGTTTTTACTGGTTGATTCTAAATACAATAAATGCTCCGGCCTTGGGTTTATGACCAATAAAAACTAATTATAAAAACCTCGGGGGACCTCGGTTTTTATAATAGTTTTTATTGGTCATAAACCCTCGGCCTCCTCATTTATTGTATACGTAAAACATAATGTATAATGGGACTTCGGGTATAAGGACACTTCGCGAATGAGGACACTTTTCTGATGCCCCGTCGAGTGTCGTCATACGCAAAGCAAGTCGACTGTAGACTATAGACATGGGAGCATACATGCATTAGTCTGCATCAGCACTGCAGTGAATCAGTGACTCCGTGAGTGTACATGACTAGTATAGTATACATGTAGTACTTATTCATATTTCTCTAGGGCAGTCCCCACAGACCTATGGTCTCCTTACGGGGTACCCTAGCCAATCTAGGATTGCGATACGAAATTGACTTGGTGAAGCAGCAAGGCGGACCGATGCCGGAACTGAGTGCCAGCGGTCAGCGGCTAAACAAGAAAGAGAGGGATAACCAAATCGAGAGGGGGATGTATGCAGGGTTGCATGACCGGTGATAGTGCATGCTGCCCTGGCGTGTATCGTACAGCTACTGCAGCATAACATTGGCCAGATTTTATTTTGCGACGACTGGCATGACTGTAGTACTGTAAAAGCCATAATATAACGAAGTGCTAACTCTAACGAGTTAACGAGGAGAAATCTGTCGTTAAAATAGAAATCGTTATACAGAAATCGATACATATACTGTCCTATTGAGCGTTGAGAATAAGCGAGAATCGTTACCTTTGGTACACGTAAACCAGTCGATATTGGGAAATCGTTATAATTATATGCGCCTCTTAATAGAATAATGGCTTTTTCAGTACTACAATGCTGGCAACTGAAATCCGACCCCCTTGGCGGCGCGGCGCCCCGGCAAGGGGGGGTCGGATTTCACTTGCCAGCACTACTAGTAGCCCAGGCTAGAAGCTTACTGAAGTACATGTAGAATTGTAGATACCAGTACTGAGTCTGTATTCTCTATTATAGACCAGGGTTGACCAGGGTTGTATGCACAGTGAACTCGGTGATGACATTGGGTGACGTCAGGCAATATTTTTTTGGTTATATCTTTTGTGCCAAACACGCCGATAATAATAGTTAGGCCACCTAGAATTATTGCATTCCCAACTCATCACATTGCTACAACGTAATATGGTACAATCGTTGAATGCTTTCGAACCGCTCGCGGGACGATTGCATTCACGAGCCTAGTCTCAAGACTTACCTGCAGGCACTTCACTGATTGCCACTTGACCGAACATAGCTACAGTGAACAGCAGCCACAGCAGCAGTGGTGACAGCAACGCCCGCCTCATTGTGTATGCTGTGCTGGTCTCCTTCACGGCTTCGCTTCAGTGAGCTGCTCGCCGCACCCCCAGAATGGCAGGAAAAAACTGGAGTTCCGATTTGCTTTGCACCGCACAACTGGGGACAGCGTTTACAAAACTAGTGCGAGCGATCGGGTGAGGGAACGAACCTAACCCCGCGTTGTCTTGACCAAAAGTTGAACTGAAGAAACAAAACTTTTCTTTATTGGCAAAATCCACTCTTCAAAGCCTCTATAATAATGACCACGCGCGTGTGCGTGACACATCCGTCGCACATTGGCCTGCGCAGTGCCTGTCCATTTCTGTCGTTCACGGCAGTCTGGAATTCTGTTTGTAGTCATATCCTGATTCTCGCTCTCACTCTCACTCTCAGGGGCAGTCAGGGTAAGATCTCTCTGTTGTCGTGTTGAGTGTTGTCGTGTTGACGTGTCGGTGATGTTACGCCTAGCCTGTTGAGTGTTGTCAGCTACAAAATGACAGTGACGCTGCATGCAGAGAGCAAAAAGAAACGGGCCGGCGGTTGATCATCTACCACAGTTATCATACAGCGCTGGCAACTGAAATCCGACCGCTGAGCTGTGCGCTCACATCGCAAAGACCCAACACAGGATGGTAAAACTACGAAACAGAGACCGCTAGAATGTGGACGCACTACTAAGGGGTCGGATTTTAGTTGCAAGGCACTGCAGTTGTAACGGAGAAAGTGGGTTCAGGTACGGTTGAAGAACTGCCAGTCATCCGTTGTTGTCAGAACCAGGCATTGAGCCTTCAATGGCTTCATGCTCGGCCGCGTGAGCGTAAAAACGTCACGATCCAAAGCAGGGAGTGGTGCACCGGTGGTACATGACTTTGTACTATACTGTGACTGTCTGTAGCATTATTATTACAATGTACAAGGACAATGTACTTGCCATCTTCTCAGATTTGACTTTGTATTGTGTTGGGTTTCAGTTCCCGTTATGGCACCAAAGAATTGGATTGAGCCTTTTTCTTCAGATTCTTGGCGTTTTGTTAATTTTTTTGTATTGAGACTTTGTGTCATAATATTATTATTAATTTTATCACTCCCTTAGAATTGACTCCCATTGATTTTCGCTATACCTAAGCAGTCAAATATTCCTGCATATTTCACTCCTTAGGGCTATATTGACTGCTTATATTTGACTGCTTATGAGTTCCGCAGTTGAACGGTGCCTAGTGCAGCATGGTCACTGTATGAGTAGGTGATGGTGCAACGGTTGTGATGTGCAATCATAAAACCGGGATTCATGAGGTCATCGTTCTGGAATTTGAAATACGGACTGTTTGTCGTGATAAATCTAATATTGACTTCGTACTTGGTCAGTATACATGGTATAGGAAATTATTTCCTATATTGACCTCGTACTCAGTCAATATTAGATACGTAAGCACATTTGCTTTGCCCGTACAAGAGGCTTCTATAATTATTACGAAGTACATGTACATGGCCACATGTATGTAGCCCTGATCAGACGTCTCACACAGGTTTTGAACTAATACTTGTGTATAAACATGCTGCATTGATGCATGACTTGTACAACATTGAAGAATTGGACACACTTCCAATTAATTAATTTTTGTTCTACAAGTAGAATCTTGGAAAGATGACTCAATAAATAATGGCTATTGAACCCCCCCCCCCCCCTCCCCGGCCCTGAAATCCCCAAACTCTGGGTCGACTTGGAAATGATCCCACTGACGCAAAACGTACACACACGTACACACGCAAACACACACACACACACACACACACACAGCAGGGGCGTGGGAACAGGTCCGGCAGGTCCGGCGGCCGCCGGATGTTTCGCCAAAAAAACCAGCAAGCTCGTTTTCAACCATGCGGAGGTCGAGGGGCAAGTCCTACTTACGCAGTACAACCCGCCAGGAAACTCCGAAAGGCTCAATCATCTGATCTGATGTTCCTGAATGTCCACAAGAAACTGCTGGACGGCTATTGCCTGAAGAGTACAGCACGGAATTTGCGCGTGGAAGTGAGTGATCAGCTCTCCCAATTCGGACAGTTTTAAAATTTAGTGGAATTTTGTGATTCAAATACACATGTACTTGCTTCTGCATGCATTTCAGGAGTATCCTACATGTACTGTAGTATAACCTAGGGTCCGGCGGATTCTGCCGGCAGAAAAATTGGCAGAATTCGGTACTTTTTCTGGTAAAGTTTCATGCATGTTTGGTATGTGGATAAAGAAATGGAGCAGAATTCGAGGAATTGCCCGCCATAAGGTTTGCATGGTTCTGCCAATTTCACTGCTTTTCGAGCATAACCCGCCGGTCCCTACAATAACCTCAAGTCTTCCATGATACAGTACTGTACCACAGTGTTTGTTCCAGGGAGTCGTAAAATACCGGTATTTTACGACTCCCTGGTTTGTTCATACCAATCCTTTGCCAAGTAAAATCGCCCTCTTTACTTCACTCAGTAGAGACAGAGTCAAGCGAGCTGTATTCCCGGTGCCGAAAGGCGGGATCACCACTCCTGTATGGCAACTTCCCCATGTCTAACCCTCAAGACGAAGTGAATACTGCAGTGCATGTAGTCATATTGGGCGGAGTTAAAATTAAAAAATCGCACGAGCTAAAAATCTGCCCGACCATTGGAAATCTGCTTCCTACGCCCCTGACACGCCATGTACCATGTATACGCCCGTCGCAAGAGAAGCACGCAAATCTGCAAATGCACAGATTTTCTCTTATAGCAACGATAGCGAACAAGATCTGAATGAGACAGATCAAGACTTGCGCCAGATAACTGTCCAATCCACACAACTGGCGAAGCCATGTGAATTGACCACCAATGCACACCTGGTCTACACCACACGGAGTACATGGGCATAAAACGGCCAAGACAGTTACCTATGCACACCCTACACTTGCTGGGGTAACCAGTATAGCCAGCACGCTGCCTTGATAGAAGTAGACACTAGATGCACTGGTACCTTGAAGTGAAATTGGAGTTACTTTACCAACAAGCCTTGGCTACTGAGTACTGGGAACCCAGAGCCAACAGACATACCAACAACCTCAGCCTTGAAAGCTATTATACCAAGAGTACATAACCCCCCAGAGTGTGCAACTCCCACATACCCTGCTGTCCCAACAGAATTTCAAGTTGACGTCATTATTTATGACGCAATGCTCCTTGCACCAGTGATTTACAACATGTATACGGGTGTCAAAGCATCACACGTTTTTCTTTGTAATAATTTGAACAGGATCGATCGGCTTCGGTCAACCACAGGTTCCGGATTCGTCTGATAATCCGTGTACAGTGCGCATTGCATCATCAAAATGACGTCAACTTGAAATTCTGTCGGGACAGCACCCATAGTGGAGTTGCACACTCTTGGGGGGGTTATGTACTCTTGATTATACTTATAGTAACGACACACTGGATTGTGGAGCCGAAACTAGTCCAACTTCCAAATGCTTTGGCAAGAAGGTAGCCTTCCAACACACATACACACACACACACACTACACAATGAACGAGAAGAGTTGTTGCACGTACTTGTTAGTTCTAAAAATAAGTTATTGTAAACTGCCTATTAAATGTTTCCAGCGTATTAATGTTTGCTAATTTTGCGAGAAGAGTACAACGCAAATATTAACAATCACTAAATCAAACTTCAACAGTGGGTGTATGTGTGTGGCCACAGTACTCCTAGACATTTGCCATCGAAAACTTGCTGGTTCTGAGAGATCGCAAAAATTTACTGACGCAAACATTGGGCGTTTTACAGGATTCCGATGCATGTGAAGGATACTTATTCCAAATGCAAGCCGCCAAAGGTTGACGGAAAGCCAACAAACAGTGAGCGAGACAAATGATGGAAATATTCTCTTTAAAAAAATATAACTGTGTTTCAGAAAGGTGGACAGACAATACGCCGAAGGGAACCGGGAAATGTCAGGGACATGTGCTGGAAAGGATGGCAAGGCGGTTTCCATGGAGACAGGAGCGTGAGTCACTCGGAGAAGGCAATGTCAACACGGAATTTGATAAGAGAAGTCGATTGTCAAGCACGTTGAAACATTAAAAGCAGCGGCATTATCCAATTTAAATAAAGGGGAGAGATGTGTGGCAAGATCTTGGGATCTCGCAGAACAACGGCATGCGTTAGGTGCAAACGTGTAGAATGAGCAAGCAGCTATGAGGATGTCGATAGTGCACAGCAAAGTGCAACGCAGCACTTTGGCACAGTAACGCATTGTTCACTGATGATTGGTGACAGCTGCAGAGGAATATACACATACAGCGAGAGAGAGAGAGAGAGAGAGAGAGAGAGAGAGAGAGAGAGAGAGAGAGAGAGAGAGAGAGAGAGAGAGAGAGAGCGAGAGCGAGAGTGAGAGAGAGAGAGAGAGAGAGGGGAGAGAGACTTCTACGCTCGAGCACACAATGAGCAGTCAGGTACTGTAAGTCGACAAATGTTCGGTCGCATCACATTTTCGGCCTCTACTGCTGCCGCATGTATACACTGTCACACTGAACGTCGGAAAACAAGAGTTCGGCTGCAGCAAATGTTCGGCCAAACATGACCGGGCCGAAAATAGCCTAAAATAAACATGCGCCGAATATTTGTTGACTTCCAGTATGCCCCTGACCAACAATGGCCACGGGAAAACAGGTTGGATTTCTACCAGCACGCTCATGCCTCGTTTATCCGGGCGGTCCGGGACTGGGCATTGCCCGTGACTTTGAAATATCCATAATTCCGAATCACACACATTTTCATGGGGAAGGGCCATAATTGCATATGGCACATGGCATCACTATTTCCACAAAAGTGACAAAAGAGTAGTAATATTTCCACTGAAACTCGCCCAAAGGGTGCCTGGTAGATGGAAGTTCCTTGGGCCTTGGGGTCTGGATAACCGAGGGTTTTATTTATTTTTTACAAAATAGCCACAAACCATCATGGTGCAAACACCGGCAAAAACGCACAGGGATAGGGATACACATAGGCCGGATGGCAGCCGAAGCAGGTACAGTCGTCCCTCTCTAATCCGGCACTTGTTAATCCGGAACCCTTGCCAACCGGCGCACTTTCTGACGAAACCGATTTTTTCCGTTCAATTCCTACATCTTAATCCGGCACTTGAATTCCGCCTCCGGCAGTGACTTTTTGAAACGAATCGCTCAAACTGCACGTAGTTTGATTTCATAATCCGGCAGTCGTAAATCGCGTACCGTACAGGTGCACTCCTTGCCAGGCCAGTCTGGTCAGTGCCGCGCGCGCGGGGCCACTTCAGAGTTCAGTCGATCGAATTCAGTTGACAACTGTACTCGAGATCGCGCGGGAGAGTTCAGTTCGGTTGGTTGTTAGGACTTTTCCGAACCCGAACTCAATTTATACAAAGAGAAAGACCAAGGAACTTCAAGTTACGGTATACTGTCCACTAACACCACCAGTTACTAAGTAGTGTCCTGCCAATTTTCAGGTCTGTGTGTGTGTGTGTGCGTGTGTGTGCAAGAGTACATGTGAACATGTTCTCTGTTTTACTTTATCACTTTATCACTGTGTATATTCCTGGAAAACAGTTGAGAATATAAAGTTGTGCACCAAATACTTGGATCGACACGGAAAACCCCTGCGTTTTGACGTATGACACATGCATGCAATTGGGTAGGGCCGGGTCAGAGGGCAGGATTTCTTAATCCAGCACCCTCGTTAATCCAGCAGAAAACGCCGTAGCAAAAGGTGCCGGATTAGAGAGGGACGGACGGCTGTATAAGAGAGTATGACCGACAGCAGCAGCAGCAGCAGCTCACCTCTTAATACAGCAGGATGCGA